ACAGACCTGATAGTTTTTATGGTAATATCAGTACATATTAATTACCTAATTTGCATAATTAATTAATTTTCAGCATTTGATATAAGTAGTTAGCATTACATTTCAATGAAACTTGGTACTTACATACTCAAGGACTATGCAGAGATTGATTGTTTCGATAAATATTTGTGCATATTAATCACCTAATTTGCATAATTAGTTAATTTTCAGCTTTTCCCGGGAAAGTACTAATCATCGCATTAAAATGAAACTTGGTACATAGATCCTTTAGGACTATGCAGAGACCTGATTAGTTTTAGGGTAAATAATTGTGCATATTAATTACCTAATTTGCATAATTATTTGTCAGCTTTTCTACTGATAACTAAAGTACTAATCATCACATTTCAATGAAACTTAGTACAAAGATGCTCTAGGACAATGTACAAACCTAATTAGTTTGGGGTAAAAATCTGTTCATATTAATTCCCTAATTAGCATAATAATTCATAATTTTTTGGTTCTTATCACATTTCAATTAAACTTGGTACATAGATTTTTTGTTACATTGCGCAGACCTCATTAGTTTTACACTCAAATCTGTTCATATTAATTTTCTGATTTGCATAATTAGTTTTCAGCTAAGTAATTTCAAATTATATTTAATGTGTCTCCATTACTCTCAGCACATGGGAGTTCTTTCTAAGCTTTCTTTGATTATAATTTATTTATTTATTTATTTATTTATTTATTTATTTATATAAATTATATATAAAAATATGATTTGAATTAAAATTCAAAAATGTGATACGGTAAATACCGTAATCATGGAAAAGTTTTCAAACATGAAAAATTATGTCTGCTCTTGAGTACAATGGCATGAAAGTTTTGTATGGCTGCTTTTTAGGAATAAATGCAAATAGTGATGTATTTCTTACAAAATAGCCTTTCCAAAGTTTTTGAGTTGTGCACAGTGTACATGTGTTAAGAATACAAGAATATTCAAATTTACTTGTGGTAAAGACTGATTTAGGCTCACTCAGTCAATATTTATCTACTTCTATGCAACAATTTAAATTATGCAATTTCATAGCCAGGTTCTAATATATAAATAATGTTTGTAATCCTAACTCCTATATTAGATATCAAGATTTCGTATCCGAAGTACAAGCCCTATGTGGCAGCCATCTGACTTGAGACTGACACGCATTAAAGACAGCAATCGAGACGAGATTCTTATATTCAAAGAAGCTGATTGGTCCACACTACGCATTGAGATTGACGCCATCAAAAAGGATCCTGAACGTCCAACAACTCCCATTCGACTGATCACAAACCAGGGCAAGATTCGTTTCACCATCAAGAAGAGACTGAGTGACTGCGTGATGCTCACATCCAAAGTTCAGTTACTTTTAGAAGATTTGCTATGGGTACTTACTGATTCACAACTGAAAGCATTTATTGAGTATCTACAGTTTCTTGGTGCTCTACAGAAACAGTCTGAAAATGAAGTTAAGACAAGTACCAACATACAGTCACAGGTATTTAAGAAACATTGTTTCACCAGCTTGAATTTATGTACTGTGATATTTAAGATCATTGAGCCAGTAATGAAATAGATGCCTCAACTCTCATGACATGTGCAGAACCAGATCTCTAGCATGTGTTGTTTCTTTTTCTTCAACTTGGTAGAAGGAGTAACCATTACTGGAGGTTGAAGCACATCTCTTTGATTTGTAAAGTTTATTATTCATTTTATAACAAACAACAGAATTCAATAAGCTTATGGTCCATACCATTATTAAATACATGTAGACAGACAGGGACTGTGCTTTGCAAAATGCATGTGCTCTTTAACGCACACTGAAGACTAGGAACACCACACAGACTAAAAGATTTTATCATTGTGTATCTGATAGAGTGTATGACTAGTAACAAACACCACATAGAATTGCCAGATTTTCACATCCCTATCACATGAGAAGCCATTTTCACAAATCTAATACGATGTGGTCTGGACAGAGTATACAATTATCTGAATGAGCAGTCGATTAAGGAGATTAACTACATAGCCTTCTTAATGCAACATGCTCATACAAATCACTGAACTATGTCCAGTTGCATCTCTATGGGCCGTGTATATCTGTTCATAATCCTGTTGGCTGCTATTATCCACAAATTATTTATAGATAGATAGAATTTTATTTGGAACCTACCAATTAAATCTTGAGTAAAATCCAAAAATAACAATAACAAAACAAAACATTCAGAACAACAAAAACTTACAGTACTAAAACATATCAAGAATCTAGAAAATAAATTTTGCAAAAATGCTAAGAATGAAAAAATCATTACTTGAAACAATAATAGGAAATAATTCATCCATGCTAAAATCTTCCAGCTTTGGGGCATAGTTGTATAAAGCTGCAGGGAATCTAGATCTTTGTTCTTTGATTTGACAATTATTACAATATCATATGTTTATATGTGTTCTTTGCAGGCTAAAATGATAGCAGAACAGGCTAAAGGTAAACAATCTCAAGCCACACAGCATCAACACCTATCAGCTGAAGATCTGGCAATGACAAGATTCTTTGATAAATTTGATGTAGTAGAGACTTCATATCACTTGACAATGCATAGGGTGGACTTACATCTGTGTGATGAACAGAATAGACCACAGTCTGAAGGTAGGTACCAAGTTTTATCCCGATGATCCTTCTTCAAGTCAACCCAGTATCTAAATTTGGTAGTGGGTACTAGCAATTTACTTAGTGCAAAATATTGAATTAGAGTCTAGTAAATACATTGGCCGGCTTTGTTAGGCCATGTGCATGTTCGACACACAGTATATATGTGTGTACACATAGAGGGACATCTCTTTTCAAATTGTTATGGAAGTCTCTTACAGTGGGGAAGTAACCATCTGTCGGTAGGTTCAGCACACGCTTTGAAGTTTTTTGTGTGTTAGTATATATGAACACTAATTTACATTACAAGTTTAACTTCTTGTTTTTATCATAACTCAGAGAGAATTCACTTACCAGGTTTGTTACATTACTGTAGTTTTTACTACATTATAAATTGTTACATTAGAGCTGTACTATCACAATTACTTGTACATGTATGGTCTATTGAAGGACCACAACAAATTCACCATCAAAACTGACTTTACTATCTTTTGATTTTAAAACATTTAGTTTATTGTTGCATGATATTTTGATACAATCGATACACACCTCAATTTCAAAGACTATTCGTGATAGTACAGGTTTAATTTTATATCACAATAGCTAACCAAATAGTAGGTTGATACTTTACAACTAACATTCACCTAGTATTTTTTTCCCTTTTACCGATCTCTGTAATATTGTTATAATTTGTAAAAAATACTAACTTTAATAGTACATCTTAAGACACACAGAGCCACATATCTACTAACTGCACCCACTCAGTCTCTGTAAAATATACATTACATAAAATGACTTTATATATGTTACATAGAAGTTTTATGATATTTCTCTGTCAGCACACATGATGGAATGGATACTGTAAGGGATAGCTCCTGTTGTATTTCCTGAATATCAGTTTCATTGAATGTAATATTAGCATTTTATTCTTTGTAATTTCATCCACAGACCATTAGAGTATGTCTAATGATTTCTCCTATGTTCTCTTCAATTATTGCTGTTTTTTGTTACCAATTGTTAGGTCTGGCTTCCTTCTCTGTGTATGACTTATGCAAGCACATACAATTCAATGGTCTGTGGGATTCTAGACTGTGATTCTCATAACAGTGTCCTGATTTGTTGTGGCTGACACAACACTATTAAATATAACTATTAATTAATGCTGATAATTGGCCCAGATATGTACCTTTAATCACCCAAACATGAGGGCCTTAGTGCTTTATACAATAATATATTCCAAACTATGCTGCTGCCATTAGTAGGGTAAAACTAACCTGTCTCACAAACCCACCTTAGAAAAGTGTTCATGTGTGCTTTGGCATCACTTTACTGGATTTCTCTTTGAGACAAATAGTGTAATCACTCTCTAATAGAGCAATACATGTACAAGTGAATACACTATATTTCCTGGATTTGGTAATCGTGTCAATAATTACAAATTTACGCTGTGCAAACTTCCACATCTACTGGTATGTTAAGATTGATTGAATTCTTTGTTAACATTTTACTCATCTTTACTTAGTTTCACTTTGAAAGCTATGTATTTTGTTTTACCTTGCCCATAATGTAGATTTAATGTAAGTGGTTTATGATCGGGAAAAATGTCATCCATCACATAAGACAAGATACTAGTATATATTTATTTGTTACAACAATGAAACAAATAATACATTTCTAGTTGTTAAAAAAATGTAAAAAAGATATTATTTTGAAAGTTTTTCAGGCTAAAGTTTCAACAATGAAAAGAAGTCATTCAAAGAATTTTTTTTTATTTTTTTTTTTTTTATTTTTTTTTTTTATCAAAATGGCAGATTTCTGTGTTACTGTAGGATCTTTTTTAATGATATGCAAAAGGCACATGTAATTCCTTGCATAATTAATTAGATGCCAACAGGTTTCAATCAGAAAAATTAGTTGTCCATTCAACTGATAAAATAATTTTAATAACACTTCATATGATTTATTTGCATCTTTCATGCATAACTACCCATGCTTCGAGACTGTGCTTTTCCAATCAATTTTATATTGTGTTGCATTCATTATTAACTACTAACATAATGGCAAGGTCACCAAAGTGTTACTATGTTTGTTTTTTTCATCTAGGGAATTCAACTGTTTGATTTGTGACAGATGCTCTTGTCTCATATATGAAGGATTTTCAGAGTCTCCAGTGATAAAATTTGGAATCGTAGTAATTTATCAGAAGTTTATTGCTTCCCTCTTCTATGCTATTTCCATTAACCACTTGCTTTTATACTCATTTTCATTAATACCTCTGCTGCTTTGTTGAATTTAAATCTATTGGATGATATAAACAGTTGAACCAGGTAACAATGACTGTACATTTACAAGTAATGTTTTCTCATTGAATGTCTTAGATATTTCTTGTCGTAGATTGTACCTGTCATCTGCACCTTGTTAGATAATGTTTTATGCATGCAGTAGTGTAGTCAGGATATAACAGAGACCGAGACAGACAGTTTTACGAAAAGAAGTCGCAGTCGCTGAAATCACATTAAATGTCTTCGGTTGTTTGGGTTTTTTTTTCAGCCATGACATGTCAGTTGCAAAATTACCATGATTTGTTTCATCACTGTGAGGCACATTTTGATTATTCAGGCTATTAGAAAATATTTGCTTTACATGTATTCTTTATTATTTAAAAGTGTCTGTCTCTCTCAAAATACTCTTGAAATTAGCTTATTGTTTATGAATAATAGGTTTTAAAAGCCTCTTCATTTTAGTCTAAAAATAAATGACATCATATTTTTTCCAAAACTCTTCAAGTTTAGCAGACCATATTTCAAATTAGAACCCTGCTTAATCCTCATTTTAACAAGATTACTTTCTACTCCCTGAGAAATCATTAATTTTTCAATGCTGTCATTTTCACCTGGGCATTCTGTACCGCTGATTTAATTTCTATAAATTGACCTGATAGTTAAATCTGATCGTAATGAAAGTCAACTTAAATGTATTTTTTTTAAATCCCCCTCATCTTTTCACTTAGCTATTTGTTATTGTAATACAACAGAGCTTAAAAGAAATAATGATTATTGTCAACGTTCTCAATATTTGCTTTTCTCACCAATTCATACTCATGCAGCGCCCTCTGTGGCCAAATTGCTCATGGAAGAACATTTGTTTTCACACACAAATGTTCCCACATTTCAGAACTGACCTCGTACTCATTTCACTTTAAAATTGTTTCTATTGCTTTGTAAGAAGAATTGTTACAGGAAATTTGTACTATTCATTTTCAATGAATTTTAAGTGCATCCAAATTTAAATTTGCTTTTGAATAGTGTTCTTGTGTGTGGGTGGAACCTCAAATAATGTATCATACAATTTGTGTATATTCTGACCATCATAGTAATTTCAAACACCAATATTAAAAATATCGTCAAGTGATACTTGAATAGTTCTTTATACGCAAGGAGTAGTCTTAAGACAACTGGAGTCAGACTTTACATAGTCGGAAAAAGACACTAGGATATACAAATTATATAATATTTTATTAAAATTAATAATTATTAGCATTGTTTAGACACTTGAAAAATGCACTGACTGTAGTCATTTTTATAGAAGTCACTAATTGTAATTAACATATACCATATTTGCTCTATTAGAAGCGCATGTTCAATAGGAGTACACATAAACCAGAAAATTTAGATCATAAAAATTGAACTCACTTTGGCCATAGATAAACCTATATTTTACATAGAATGTAACTGTGGTACACATACTAATAGCATGTTACTTTAATTTTGTCAAGATGGTCTCATATTACCGGTACATCTCCTATGTACAGATCATCTCATATTGATATGAAATTTGCATGACTAATATTGCAGTAATTCTAGACTAGTGCATAGAATAATTGTATATTAGTACCATGTCTAGGCATAAGAGCTGTATCGCCTGTAGATTAGTACCATGTCTAGGCATAAGAGCTGTATTTCCTGTAGATTAGTACCATGTCTAGGCATAAGAGCTGTATCTCCTGTAGATTAGTACCATGTCTAGGCATAAGAGCTGTATCTCCTGTAGATTACAATCTGATTAAAATCTGATGTAGTGTACGGGCTTTAATTATTTTGGCTATAAACTTATTTTAATTTTATTTTTTATTACTTTTGTTATTAATGCCTTTTTATTTTATTATTTTACTTTGATTTTGATTTTTTTTAATTCCGCCCTACATACATCTGATCCGACGCCTACGTAAGTCCCGTTCAAATCTCGCGTAAGTAACAGC